TTGCACTTGCCAGGCAGGCGCTTTTGCCGCTGAGCTAAATCCCCAGCCCCAATTTTTTATATATGTCTTCTTTAGATGTGCTGAGCAGTTCTTTCACTATTGATGTCATTTCTTTTTTTACCTGGGCGATTATTTCTCATCTGATTTCTTCTATGGCCTGATGGAGTTGTTTCTTTACTTCAGTTGCGATCATTTCAGATTCCAGGTATGTGTCCTCCAAGTTCTCCTATGTCAGTGTCTCCTGGACTTCTGCGTGGAGTAGAGTTCTGAGATTGCATTTTGCTCCTACGTCTTGTCATTTTGGATGTCAGACGGAAAGTGCAGAGCCACACCCTCCCCAGGTGGCTCACTGAAGGTCTCTAGGGACCCTGGTTTACCTGGATATAACACTTATTGCACCATGGTAGAGGGCAGTGGACCACTGGGCCCGGGATCCCCAGGCAGCTGGTGTGGTGCATGGCTCAAACCACAACTGCGATGGTGGGGGAATGCTGGCCTTCAGCACCAGGGTGTCCAGGCCATCAATGGAAAGCGTGGGGGGCTCAGCTGTGAACCCGATGGTGGCCACACAGGGGCCACTGCTCTGGGTTCCTCCGGCAGCTGGTCGAGGGAGGGTGGGCCTCACCTCCCAACCGAGAGGACTATAGAGCCGGGGCCCCTCCCACGCCGCTTCCCTGTGGGAAAGGAGCAAGCAGAGCTTAGGTGCAGGCCTCGCCCACCAACAGAGAGGTCCACGGAGACCCAGGCCGGCCCCATGCTGCTTCCCTGCACCCACGCTGCTTCCCTGTCTGAAAGAAACGGGCAGAGCACGTTGTTACTGTCTTTGATTGTTTGATCAATCTTACATTCTTATGTCTAATGGACTGAGCAACTTCGTTGAAGATAACAGCATGTAGTATAGCAACCATTGTAAATTTCTATCGTTCTGTCTTGAGGTCATGAATCATTTTTGTTGTTTTTGTGTTTTGATTTTTGTCTTCATTGTTGTTCTGTTGGTTTTTTAATTTAAAAAAATAATAATTTTTAAAAACTCTGAAAATTAACTTGCAATTCTAATATTCAAAAGAAAATAGCAAAATATCCTACAGAAATATAAAAATCTCCACTTACAAGTCTACCAACAAAAATAAAATTATACTTGAGTATATTCCTACAATATTTATGGTGATTAAAGTCATACTGGTAAACTTTATAAATCTACAAGAGCCTGCTAATACTGACTGCACCAACACCATTAGAGGAAAGTAACAGTGGAAAAGTCCCTTCATTTTATGAGAATTAAAGTTTTGCACTAATTCCCAACACTGCCATTACAAGAATAAATTTTGCAGTGCATTTTTCATCTGGAAGTAAATTCAAGTTGTGTTCTACATTGTAATATAATTTACTTCCAGATGAAAAATGCACTGCAAAATTTATTCTTGTAATGGCAGTGTTGGGAATTGGAATACATGTATATATGCATATATGCTACATTTTAACCAAATTTGGTTTATCAAATATAATTCAGTACACAAGTTTCTTGCAAAATAGAAATTAAATTACTAAGGAAAAACATAATGGAGTTGAATACCTTATCACAATTTAGAAATAAACAATGATAGAAATTACTCATTAAATTTGTGGTTGGAGGAAAGGGTCTCAGATCTACACATGCTATTTACAGGAGCCAAAGAAAACATCACATTCTATGATTCCAAAGTGAATGCAAGAATGAAATAAGAATTTTCCATATGGCCAATTCTAATGACATACTGGAGGATCTGGTTAATGCAATGTTATCAGGAAATTAAAGCAAGAACTTCAGTAAAAGGACAATAAAACCTGTACTATTTTTTTTTTTACTTGTACTATTTTTCAATGGTAAAAATGTATAAGAATAAAATTCCAATGAATTATTAATTTTATCAAAGTGCTAACTAAATACAACTGTTAAAAAGTACATCTGTATCTTACTCATTAAACAATCATATGTGAAATTAAAAAGATTCATTAATATAAAATACTTAGCAATAAATTCTATAACTAACTGTAGGGCACTCTGCAATCCTTGAGAACCACTCAATTAGTTCAAGTTTTCTCAATCAAAAGAATAGCCTGGGAATTCCACCTGAAACTAATTTTGCTAAAGAAGCTAATGCATAATTGAAAAATAGATGTTATGAATGTATTGTTCTCAACAATAGTTGAAAATGCTATAAACTTGTGGACTTGAATAACATACTTAGTCTCTTACATTGGTAGGGGTCACAAGACTGAAATCAACCTCACAGGGGAAGAGACATCAGCAAGCCTTGTTCCTTCTGAGGCCCTAGGGGACAATCTCTGTACTTGGCTTTCAGCTTTCAGTGGCCTCCTGAATTCCCTGACTCATAGTCCCTTTCTTTTATCACTCTAATCTCTCTCTCTTTTTTTTTTTTTTTTTTTTTTTTTTTTCATTTTGGAGACAAGGTCTCGCTATGCAGTTCAGGCTGACTTTGAGCTCATTTTGTAGCCCAGGCTGGTCTCAAACTCACAGCGATCCTCCTGCCTCAGCCTCCTGAGTGCTGGGATTACAGGCATGTGCCACCACGCCTGGCTAATCTCTCCTTATGTTGCTACATCTTATCCTTCTTTCTTTCACTAATTCCTCCTCCTCACCTCCTATGAAGAGCGTTAGATACACCTCACTGGTGTGCTGAAAATGACATAAATATTTTAAATGACTTGAGATTATTGTTATTAATACCCTACATTATCCAAGAGAATCTCCTTTCTCAAACTCTAGCTGGACCACAAGGCCAAAGTCCTCTGTGCCTGGAAAGGAAAGATAGTCACAGCTCAGGATATTCACATCAATGAGTCATGATATAATTTAGCCCCTGGCAACGTATTTGTACATTAACAAAATCAAAACATCACGATTGCATGGGTGGTTTTCTCAGACTTACAAAGTATCTCACTAAGGTCTGTAGGAAACAATTTTTCTTTCTCGCTTTGGGATACCAGTATTTATCGAAGACTACATAATTTTTTGAAACTGTGTTTATAACTTCTAATATCAGCATTATCCTTCTGGTCAATTCCAAACTTTTCTTTGCAAGAACCTGAAAACCTGTGATATCACCAGCTCCAGGCTGACCCAGAATATTTTTTCTTCCAGCTTTACCACTATGTGGTTATGTAGTCTCTGCCAAGTAGGTTTCTCATCACTGTGAATTCTTCCATGTATTCAAATACTTTTGTAAGAACTGAAAGCTTTCGCACATTGCCTACAATCACAAAGTCTCTCTACAGGGTAAATTTCATATATTTGAAAACATTCCCATATTTTTTATATCTGCATAGTTTCTCTCCAGTGTGAGCCCCCTCATAAATTCAGAAAGGTGTGGATCATATGGAATATTTTCCCACATGGCTGGCATACAATACATAGGTTTTCTCAGTACTGAGGTTCCTGCACATCAACAGAAAATGGAACTGAAAATTTTCTGACATTGTTTACATTCAAAAGATTTCTTTCCAGTGTAACTTTTTGAAATGTCTTTGAAGTAAGCTGTAATTAGGGAAACCTTCCCACATGGTTTAAATATGTACACAACATACATATGCACATGAGTTACTTTATTTTTGCAAAAATAATGGATTGAGTTTCTCTTATGTGTGATTCCTTTCATGGTATTGAAGCCCACTGGAACCATGCAAAGTTTTCCCAGATAGCTTACATACATAGGTTTTCTCTCCACTGAGTTGTTTTTATAATATTTTATTACTACATGTTTCAAGTACATTATTGCATTTATTATGAGGAGTTGTACACATCCTATTTCCCTTTCCTCTCCCCTTTCTCTTCCATCTCTACATCTACTTCCCATCTGTAAAAGTTCTATCCCCTGATCTCTACTGTTTTGCCCTTTAAATTACTTATACTTTGCATTTCTCATATAAGTGAAACCATGCGATATTTAAACTTGTGTGTCTGATTTATTTCACTTAACATGATGGTCTCAAGTTGTATCCCATCTCCAGTCTGAGTTCTTTCATGAAGTTGAATGGAACTCAAAGAACTAAAGGCTTTTCCACATTGTTTAGACACATAGGTTTTCTCTCCAGTGTGAGTCCTTTCATGCCTTCGAAGGGAACTGGAACATACAAAGTCTTTCCCACAAAGCTTACATTCATAAGGTCTCTCTCCAGTATGAATTCTTCTGTGCAGATGAAGGGAACTGGAACATATGAAGGCTTTCCCACATTGCTTGCACACATAAGGTTTCTCACCAGTGTGAGTTCTTTCATGTACTTTAAGAGCACTGGAATGACTGAAGGCTTTCCCACATTGCTTACATACACAGGGTTTCTCACCAGTGTGAGTTCTTTCATGTTTATGAAGGTCACTGGAACATATGAAGGCTTTCTCACACTGCTTACATTCATAAGGCTTCTCTCCAGTGTGAATTCTTCTGTGTTTCTGAAGGGAAGTAGAATATGTGAAGGCTTTTCCACACTGCTTGCATACATAGGGTTTCTCCCCAGTGTGAGTTCTTTCATGTACTTCAAGAGCACTTGAGCGCCTGAAGGCTTTCCCACACTGCTTACACAAATAGGGTTTCTCTCCAGTGTGAATTCTTTCATGCACACGAAGATTGCTCAAAAAACTGAAGACTTTGCCACAAGACACACACACATAACGTTTCTCAAAAGCATGACTTCTTTCATGTTTTAAAAGAGTACTGCCATGAGTAAAGGCTTTTGCACAGAACTTACAAACATAAGGTTTCTCTCCAGTGTGAGTTTTTTCGTGTTTCTGAAGGCAATGGAAACATTTGAAGGCTTTCCTACATTGCTTACATTCATAGGGTTTTTCTCCAGTACATGTCTTTTTATGCTTCTGAAAGGATTCATAAGTGAAAGCTTTTCCAGGTTCCTTACATTTACATAGCTTCTCTTCACATTCCTGATTCTCATATGGTTTCTGTCCAGTATGAGCTCTAAGGGGCATATTTTGGCATAACTGGTCAATGAAGACTTCTCTACATACATGGCCTTCACATGATTTCATTCCAGGAGTTTTGTTGTTCAACTTATGAGCTGAAGTCTGAAGATCTATGTATCTGCACATTTCTCTACATTGATGATCTTCCTTATGTTCACAGGACCTCTCCAACATGTTACTTCTGTCACAAAGAAGAGTTAATCATGATAGGATAATTAATGGTTTTACATTTATTAATAAACATTAGAATTACATTTTAACATTGTGAGGAAGTTATAGGCTTTATAGACTGTATAAATTGTGTGGACAAGACTACACTAAACACTGAGGAACATGATTGTCCTGCAAGGAATTTTCAAAACAGTACCATTCACATGGAGTTTCTTAAGACTGTCTGCAAGTTAGCTATTTTCCAAACAATGAACATCTAAGTCACACCTAAGTAAAAGACCAGTATTTCCTGCCAAAAAATATTTTTAAATAGATGTTTTGGAGTTCAGATTTTGAAATATTTGCATACACATGAAGAAATATCTTGGAGATAGGACTCAAGGGGAAACATGAAATTCCTTAACATTATATTTTTACCTGAATTATGAAGGCAATTTCATACATTTTTAATAGTTTTGAATGCGAAGAAATTTTGTGTGCATTAAAACATCAGAAAGAGTGACTTGTAGCATCACAATGATGTTCAAGAAGTTTAGGATACTGAAGCAATTAGGATTATGAATCTTTGGCATAAGGATGTTTAACCTTTATTCATTTTAGAGAAAATAGTCTCAGAAAATAATTTTTGAAGTTGAGCTAGTACTGTCTGCTTTCTTTAAATGCCATGCCAAATTTGGTGAGGAACAGTGCTTTCTCTTGAAAGAGCAAATTACCTTAAATTTTTCCTGAGATTTTGGTTTTCATCTTCATTAATCTGGTCTCCATATCTGTATTCTAAAACACAGACCCAGAAAAATCATTATAAATTATGTTACAGAAAAACTATAACATCTAGGTTCACATTATGTTGTGACACTAAATTTCTTGACAAAGTGTTTCTCTTTTCATATTTCAAATCCCTCAACAGCAGTGATGAACAAGAAATACCTGCTCTCTGACTGAATCAAGGAATGATGTTCCCCTTACCTATGAATGCCAGATTCCTAATGATTTCTTGCATCACTGCTCTGTACAGAATCTTCTGAGAAGGATCCAGCAAAGCCCACTCCTCCTGACTGAAGTTCACAACCACATCTTCAAAGGTCACTGACTCCTGAAATATGCCAAATACATTTTCAGAAGGAATGGTAAGACTGGCAGCACCTGGCAATGTGTATTAAATTCATAATGAGTTCACATGATGTTTTGGTCTGTAAACATTAACTGCATGTGATTGGTATACCCTTTCTCTCTTTCCACCCTGACAGCTGCTCAGTTTTTCTGATGTTAGATTTCAATACTTCCATACAGAACATGAATGCCTGTCTCAGGTGACTTCAAATACACTGCTACGTATCCCTAGTGTTTCTTCTACAGTGGGTCTAGCATCTGTGAATGCCCTACCTAGTATACAGAACACAATGAACACTAGCAGTCAAGAGACTTTCTACCCCATAAATGTTCATTCTATTTCCTTTATTGTTATCTGAGAATGTAAATGGGATATACCTTGCTCATCTAGCTGACAAGAAGAGCTCAATTTGCTATAATACTACACAGTCTCTGAATTTCACCCCAACCTAGACTCCAATCATTCACTCAAGAATATACTTTATATTTGCATCTGTAAACTGGTATTTCCCCCAGGGGTAAAAACCAATTTTAAAAACCCAAGAAACAGAATCACAGGAAAGAATAAAATGAGTGGACCCTGCCTCAGAACTAGCGTATCTGTAATATACCTAGGCAAAGAAAACGCTGTGATTTGGCTCATGAACTCAGGAGTTTCACTCCACGGTTGGTTGGCTTTTGGGCAGAAATGGTATGCTTTAAGGGCCTGGTGGAGGAAAGGTGCTCACAGCAGTTAGGAAGCAGAGTGAAGGGAGGAGCCAGTGATATTGATATAACATATAACCTCCAAAGACACACCTACAGTGACATACATCTTCCAACCAGGTCCAACCTCCTAATACAAATTTAGCTATGAACCTACAAATAAATCAATGCACTAATGAGTATAGAACCCCATCTGCAATCATCTTTGAAAAACCCCACCTCTGAATATATGAGTCTTTTGGGGGACAGTCTATCTCTAAACCATAAACAAGTAGAAAACAAAAGAACCATATAGAAATTATGTGTGTGTAATTAACTTGAGAAAAAAAATCACTGAAATTATGTTACTGAAGAATAAAAAGAAAACAAAATAACTACAAAATGTGTCACTCATGTATGTGGGCTCCTAGAATTGTAAAAGAACTTCTTCAGTGAAATGTCACAAAACTCAAGTTGTTAAATCTGATTCTGTAAAAAAAAAAAAAAAAAAAAAAACACTGCTAGAAAAGAATTACATGAAAGTACAATATATTTTCCTTATTCCTAACCTGCATTAGGAGATAAATGATTGTTCAACCTGACAACATCAATGCTGTACTCAGGTATTAGATGCCTATTAATAGGCAAAATGGCATATTACCTCCTAAGCAACTATATATAGAATAAGAAAAAGAAGGTTTTTTGTTTGTTTGTCTTTCATTTTTTTTTCCAGTACTGGGAATCAAACTCATGACTCCACGCTTGCCAGGCAGACACTGTGCCGCTGAGCTAAATTCCCAGCCCCAAGAAAAAGAAGTTATTATGATTCTAAAGTAGTACCTACAAGGCCCTTGCGAAAGTACAGAGAAACCACCAATAACTCAGGGAACAAGTTTCCTTGGTATCCTAATGGAGACAAATGGAATCATGTAAACTGCCCAATGACAGTGAGGATGCAGAAACAGATGGAAAGATTTCCACAAAGTCCCACAACAAAGAAGGATAAAAGTAAACTACTACATCCAAGTTAAGATAAGGAGCAGACCTAAAACATAACTTCTTGAAAAAGAAATCCATAAGCAGAACAAGGGAAGAAAAATCTGAAGTGTTTCTAATGAATTCTGAAGACTGAGTGTGAACTAGTTTTACAGGTAAAAACTAGAGAGATGCAAAAATTCTCAATGAAATACTGGCAAACTCAGTTCAACAGCCAATTTAATGATAAAGTGGGATTCATCCCAGGAATACAAGGATGCTGCAACATATGGAAATAAAGAAGGCACAACACATCAATAAAATGATGGCTAAGTATATGACCACATGAATAAATGTGTGAAATTATCTGACAAGTTTCCACTCCCTTTCATCATAAAAACTCTCCACGAAGTACATATAGGAAAAAAAATCTCAGAGGTTACATATGAGAATGTATAGGTTGATAGAATGATGAACAGGAAAAACTGAAATTGTTTCTTCTAAGATCAAAAAAATAGACAATTATATCCACTTTCACAACTTTAAAATGGGAAGGCACATACCTGTAATCCCAGCACTCAAAGAGACTGATATAAGAGGATCAATGAGGATTCAAGGCCAGCCTGGGCTACATAGTGATTTCAAAGCCAGCCTGAATTGCATAACAAGACCCTATCCCAGAAAACTAAAATAAAATACTGGGAGACTTAAAAAGAGCAATTAAATAAGAGAAGTTGGTAAAGGGTACACAAATTGGAAAGAGTAAATTTAATTACTCATGTTTGTGGATACTGCTACAGATTTTTTAAAAGTTCAAATATTCCATCAAAATGGTTGGAACTTAATCAGATTTCGTAAAATAACAATGCAAAGTCCAGACATATAAACCAGAAGCATTTCTATACACAAAGAATGAAGTTGCTGGAAATAATTGAGAAACCAATCCCATAAACAATATCTATCAAAGAAAGTAAAAAATCCCTAAACAAAAACCATGCAACAGCTGGGTATGGTGGCACATGCCTGTAATCTCAGCACTCAGGAGGCTGAGGCAGGAAGATCACTGCAAGTTCAAGGCCAGCCTCCATTACAAAGTGAGCTGAAGGCCAGCCTGAACTGAACAGTGAGACCCTGTCTCAAAAACAAACAAACAAAAAAAAAACTATGCAACAACTATGAAAGAAATTGTAGACATAAAAAATTGGAAAGACAACCCCATGTAATAGGAAACACCATTGCTGAAATGATCACACTACCAAAAGTGATGTACAGATTCAATACATTTACATCAGACTGCTAATAACTTGCTTTACAGAAAGGAAGTCACCATACCCAAGAAAGTCACAACTAAGACAAGACTTGAAAAGTCCTTGTTGCCTTCCTGTTCAGACTGTTCAGAGGCATAGATACAGTCCACAACAATTAAAGAAATGGACAGAAACCTAGCAACAGTGGTAGGAGAAAATCTGCTTTCCAAAATTACCACATTCTAAGATTCAGATTTCCACTTTTGTCCAGAGAATATCACAATGCCAGCTAACAAATAAAAAACTATGCTCTATTCAAAGGAACAAAATAAACTGTTCCTTAACAAAGCCCAGATACTGGATTTATTTTTTTAAAATCCTCTAAAATGTATGCTATAAACATATCACAGTTAGGGGCTGGGGATTTAGCTCAGCGGCAAAGCGCCTGCCTGGCAAGCGCAAGGTCGTGAGTTCGGTTCCCAGTGCCGGAGAAAAACCAAAAAAAAAAAAAAAAAAAACATATCACAGTTGACAAAAGAATGCATGGACAAAATCAGGACAAGAAAGTTTAATCAAAATGGAAATATTCATAAAGGTGTAAATTATGAATAGAATGGCAAAGAAATTCAGGTCAGAAAAGTACAACTAAAATGACAAATTCACTACATGGCTAATGGCAAAATAAAGCAGAGACAAAAGAATAAATGTGAAGACAGAGTTACTGAAATTATTAAATATTAAAAGAAAGCATATAGAATCAAGAAAAGTGAACAGAACCCAAAAGACAAGTAGGACACCAGCAACCTGGCTCACATATATGTGCTGGTCCCAGAAGAAATACAGGGGAAAAGAAAAAGAATAAACATTTTAGAAATACTGCCAAGGAGCTGAGGATATAGCTCAGTGGCACAAGTGCCTGCCTGGCAAGTGCAAGGTCCTGAGTTTGATTCCCAGTACCAAAAAAAAAAAAAAAAAAGAACAGAAATAATGCCCAGTATGGCCTATTAAAGTAAAAGAATCCACATATCCAAGAATGTCAACGAATCCCAAATAAGGTTAACTTGGAGACCTATTATTATCACAGTCAATATACAATGACAAGGAGAGAATGCTTACTACCACTAGCACCTATACTGTAAGAGATGCTGAAAAGAGTTTTCCAGAGTAAAATCAGAAGATGCCAAATAGTAATTCAAGCCATATGCAAAACTGGAATCAATAGCAAAAGTAAACACACATACAAATATAAAATCCACAATTATTGAGACATGACATATAACTTCACGTTATACTTTCCACATCATTTCCAAAATAGGTTTTAAAATAATTCTATATCTATGACCTGAACTCACCATTTTCAAAATCTTATTACTGATACCAAGAACATAAAGTAGAATGGACCTGTACAGGAAAAAATTATTCTATATTATTGAGTTTTACATAGTATTCACTCCATTTATAGTTTCAACACAAAACATGAAATGTAATCTTCACAGTAATCACAAAAAATATTTATATAAAATACACAAAAGGAAATGAGGAGCAGAATGTCTCACTGCAAAAATTCAATCATAAACAAAAGAAGGCAGTAAAGGAGGAAATGAACAGAACCCAACTGGGAAAATGGTGGAAGTAATCCTTCCTTCTTGATAATGCTATGGAATAGAAATAGATTAAATGCAAGGCACACAGAACAGACTTATAACCATGAACCAAGCATATGCTCTACAACAGACTTCCTTTAGATCTCCAGGCACAAGTACTTTGAAAGAGAAAGGATAAAATGCAAACTTCAAGTGCTCACTTCAGCAGCACATATACTAAAATGCAAACTTCATGAGGGCAGGGTTGGTTACACCAATATTAGAGAAAATAGACTTCTTAAGTGAATCAAGTACCTGAACATATGAACTGAAACTATGAATTTCCTAGAAGGAAATATAGGGAAAATATTCCAAATTATTTGAACAGACAATGATTTTTTTCAATGTGACTCCCAAAAGCAGAGGAAACAAGCAAAAATAGGCAAGTGGAATTATAGCAGACTAACAAAGTTTAAAAAGGAGAAAAGAGATGC